AATGACCCATGCCTTGTATGCACATATGAATAATAAAAGAAAAATAAATAAATAAAAGTAGTGTTTTGGAAAAGCATGTTGGTTATGCAGTCCGTATTCTTCTTGGTTTTGCAAACATTTCTCTTGGTAGCTTTTATGCAACCAATGTACGTCAAAGAACCATGTTAATAAAGAGGGTTATATTAAATCATCCATACAGTAATACTATACAATAGCTATTACAATATAGTTCATCATGAATTTAATTAGTAACATTTAAATACTGGCAAGCAAGACAGTGGTTAATTCTTCAGGCAGAATTAGACAAGAAACTCAGTCCTTCATCAACGTATCTCACTACGACTTATGTTACAATGATTCCTGGAAATTATTGGTTTTAACAAGTTATTGAATTTGTTTCCTCACATGACTGCAGCAGATTTACAACTTAATTCATGGGGACAGCCCATAAGAATTCTTTTACCTATCCCCTTGTAACTTTCCTCTTGGTTTTATGAATATTACAATCTCATGCAGATCCAAAAATCTGCAATTTATCGCGGACATAAAGGATGACACACTTCCCATACAAAATAAAAGTAGGAAACTGGATCGGAGAGAAACAGTTACTCAGGACATGAAAGGGTCAAAAAAGTGGTAACCACGAGCTTACATGCAACATAAACTATGGCTCCCTTCTGGACAGGACCCTCTGGCCTCAGCAAAGCCCCCATCAGTGAACACCAAGCTCCCCTCCCTGAAATTGGAGTCTCTTTCTAAACTCAGCCTCCGCAGGTTCCCCGCAATGGCAGCCCAAAGCCCCCCAAAGTGCGGCCCCGCGCTGCTGCCCACGAACACGCCGTCCCGGGCGCTGGCGGAGCCTGGCTGCTCTGACGTCCGGAGCGGCCGTCCTGGAGGATTAAATATGAAAGCAGCACAGGGCGACATGGCCAGCCGCCAGCGCCTCGCTCTCCTGCTGCCGGACTCCCTAATCCTGAGAGCCGCCAGCTCGCCCCCTAGAGGCCGTGGAGAGAATCGCCAAACTCACTGTGCTCCACACCTGCTCATGGCAGGAGTGATGCTCAGCTCCAGCCCTGCCTGCTCCCTTGGGGGCACACGCCTTGGAGGCGTGGCCTGGAAAACAGGGATACCCTTCAGCTCTTAAGTCAGCTGAAAAGAATCCCCTCTCACAACTGCCTGACTGACGGATTCGTTTTCAAACGTCCTTGGAAAATGGGAATATCATCCAAACCAAGAAGACAGAAACCACCTGTTTCTGTAGGCAGATACTGCAACAGATCTTCTACTTGTTCAAGGCACAGGACAACGGGTGCTTGGGACAAAATAGTCCTCTGTACGCTTGGTCAGAGTCTGAAAGGACCAAAGATTGTAAATGAAGAAACTCCGTTTTTTCGGTACCGGAGAGTTGCTGTTAGGAGCTATTTGCAAGCAATCCTCAACTATCTTCAGGAAAAAGAATACAGCGCCTGTGCCTTGGAGGTGGTCACGGGAGGAATCTAAGCGTCCTTTCCCTCCTCAGCAATCCTCACAGAAATGTCAGCAAGTATAGAACAAAGTTACACTCATCCTTCTAAGAACTAATGTCATTTTTTCTAACTCCAAAAAAGAAAAACCAAGTAAGATTTTTGCCCCAGTGGAAAATATTTGGAAACAAATCCATGAGATTATTTTAAAAGTATGCTTACGTTGGGCATTATAAGTTTACATAACTGTGAGAAAGAAGAGAATGATTTATTTTTCTGAATAAATAAGGTCATTTGTTTACTTAAAAGTTAATGTTTGGTGTATTTGTTTTAAAACTCGAGGGTATCTTCAGATTGCAAAGACTCAAATACATTTTATAGGACAAATTTTTAACAATGGTATATATTAAAAACACTTTTCAGTGAGGTTGAGGCTAGTTTTTGTAACTGATAAAAAAGAAACCATCATAATTAGATCTCCAGGCAAATTGATCTTTACTTCAAACAGTGGCTAAGAACAAGAATTTCTGATCAGATGACTGCTTTTTTGGTCTTCCTCAGTGGAGGCCAACAACTTTTGAAGGACCAGACTATCAGTTTTAGGTGTTTGCCATCCTTAACATATGAGTCTATGGTGGTTGAGCCCATTCTACTATATTCCAGAAGAAAATAAGTAGTGAGACTCACATTGGGGTTTATTTAGGTGTCAAGACCATACACAAAAAATTCACATCCACCCATATTTAGGTGAGGTAAATTATCCTCATGACACCAATATATAAAGATGGCAGGAAGGAAGTCTATTTTGAAAGTTCCTTGAATTCAATTTTACATTTTGTTTTTCTTTATTGGGATCAGAGCAGTAGTTGAGTCTGCACTTGCTAGGCAGGTACTCTATTACTTGAAACACACCCTCAGCCCACTCTTTACTTTTACCCTACTTGCACTAATGTATTTTAGAAGGAAAACAAATTTTCTTGCTGCAAGCACATCATTCAAAAATTCTATCCTAACATCTAATTTCACAATTTAATCTCAGAGAAGATGTCATTAAATTCCAAGCATCATTTACTCTTTGAAAGAAGCACTTACATTGGTTCCTGAATACACAGGTACAAGATAACAAAGAACAAAGAATATAAGGAAGATGTCTTGCACCACATTGCAAAATTCAAGTTGTGTCCTTAGTATATGAAGAGTGAAGAGATCATCATCATGTAACTCCCTGTAGGTCTTTGAGGATCACGAAAACAAAATTTAAGAGTCAAATTTCCATTGGGTACTAAACATGCTTATCCTGATATTATAAATAATAAAAGTACAAATTCGAAGAAAGTGTCCTAATGCCAAATGGTTTTCTTTTCTATATTTCTCTGAAAAAACTTCAATGATAACTTTCCTTGATGGACCATGAAGTATTTAAAAGTACAATTAGATAACATCCTCTCAAATCAGAAATGTACTACGTATTCCTATTTCCACCATTACCACAAGGATGATTTCTTCATAAACATAAACTAAGCTCTAAAGTGATAAATACCTGGCTAAAAGTCCAGGACACAAGATTGAAAAAATAGTTTACCTGCTCAGAGGTATTTTACAAGTTCCTGAAGATGTAATCAGGTATCCAGGTCAAATGTCTGGCTGTATGTCTAGTAAACAGAAGTGAGAGTATACACAAGTGTGAAGAGGAATGAGAGCTATTGTGCCCATAGGCCCCATTTTAAACCTGAAGTAGTATGCTATTTATTATATGCAAAGGATTTAAAATCAATCAGAAATGGAATGTATTGTCTCACAAAAACTGATGGAAATAGAAGAAGCAAATGTCCCTTTTCCATATCTTTTTGTGTCTGGAGATCCCAAAGAATCAAAGGATAAGACTATTCATGAAATGAAGGATAACTCTACATGAATACTTATCAGTATGAAGGGGAAATCTGAGGAACTGCAGCTGTATAATTTACTCTTGAATGATTACACTGGATACTGATGATGACACAGTAAGTAAGACTATTAGAGAGTTCTTAAAGAGCTGATTTGTTAAAGATGTCCCCATACCAGTTAGGGAATTGGCTCTAGTGGAAGATCACATGTCTAGCAAGCATGAGGCCCTGGGTTCAAATCTCAGTACCAAAACAGAACAAACAAAAGCCAACCTCCCCAAAAAACCAAGGTATTCCCATTTCCCATTCCAAATAATGTAAAAGAAGTTATTTAATGGGCTAAGGATACCTAACTCCTTACACAAAACATTTATCCATTTATGAGCTTACAACAAAGGTGATTTCTTTTGTTTGATAAGAATCTCCTTAACTTAGATCCTATGAAATTAATTTAGGTAAGTTATAGTTAAATTCAAATATGCAAAGAAAGATTCAAAGTAATGATATTGAAAGAATCACATTATTGTTGGTCATGACATCATGTCTAATGATACAAAAATTTGTTCTTCGGGATTGCACAAATCTGAGAAGGTATGATGGTCTGTTTTACTCCAAAGACTGATTCTATCCAACAAAGTCAGACTCCTTTTTCCTGTTGGGTTAGTATCTGAGTCACAAAATAAGTATTGACATTTTCTTCAAGGAAGATAGAAAAAAATGTTTGAAAGATTAGAACACGTGATGAATAGATGGGTTAAGGGAGAAATATCCTCATTTGTTTGATCGCAAAGTCATATTCTTGCAGGAGACCTTTAAATGATATGGGCTGTGATTGGCTATCTTGTTGGATATGGTAATAGTTGAGCATCAAAACTTATAAATATACCGTAGGATTTTAAAATTAAAGCAAAGAATTGATGTACTATCCTATAAGTCTACAAAAGTGTTTTAATAACACATTAGTAATTTTGTGAAATCCTCAAAGAAAGCTGGTGACACTGCATGGATAAATATCTGCTAGTGAAATTAAAAATTATTTTTCCATATGAGACAAAAGTAAAAATAAATTCCAACCAAACTAGGTAAGGAAAATGATTCAATTTTTCACCTTTCAAATAGTTTTCATGGTTTTGAAGTATATTGTTCCATCAATTAATTCCACATAACTTGACACATATAATTTACATGTATAAATTGAATGAAAATACTCTAAAAATTTAGTTGTAAAATTAAAGTTCAAAAGATTTTAGCTTTTTAGGTTAATCTATGTCATCCTTAACACTTCTTTTCTGAGAAAGGTAAACTTAACTCTCTTCAAGTGTACAGTAGAGCTGTAGAAACCATATATACATGTCTGTTAAGTTTAAAGGCAATTTTTGTATGAAATAAATTTCTACAAAAGCTTTGGAAGAGGGGAACAGAGGAAGTGATAATGAAAACCAATGTGGGTGAGAAACACTGCAAAATGCAAGTAGAAAATGCATAAAGGAAGTAAAAGGGGAAGCAGAAAGTAAGAGGAGGGCCATCAGAAAATGCAGCATGGAACGTTCCCTACTTAAGTCAAATGAACACATCAAGTCTTCAGAGAACCTAGAGCTAAGGTCCAGGATCACCCATCTCAGCCAGGCCAGCAGCATCTGTAACATTCCCAATGGCCTTGCCCTTTGCTTTACTGATGGCCTTGGTGGTACTCAGCTGCAGATCAGCTTGTTCCCTGGGCTGTGATCTGCCTGAGACCTTTGGCCTGGGAAATAGGAGGGCCTTGATACTCCTGGGACAAATGAGGAGAATCTCTCCTTTCTCCTGCATGAAGGACAGAAATGACTTTGGATTCCCCCAGGAGGTGTTCAATGGCAACCAGGCCCAGAAGGCTCAAGCCATCTCTGTCCTCCATGAAATGAACCAGCAGATCTACAACCTCTTCAGCACAAAGGCCTCCTCTGCTGCTTGGGATAATACCCTTCTACACAAACTCTGCACTGGCCTCTCTCAGCAGCTGAAATACCTTGAAGACTGTCTGACACAGGAGGTGAGGGAGGAAGAGCCTCCTCAGATGCATGAGGACTCCACACTTGCTGTGAGGAAATACTTCCACAGGATCACTTTCTACCTGGAAGAGAAGAAATACAGCCCTTGTGCCTGGGAGGTTGTCAGAGCAGAAATCATGAGAGTCTTCTCTTAGCAAACTTGCAAGAACATTTAAGAATGAGACCTGGTTCAACAATTAAATGACTCTCAATGACTAATGCACCTGAAACTATACCCACAAGTCTACAATTACAAAGATTCATTTCGCTGTAATTGTGACATGAATTCAATCTGTATGTCAAATGGTTTCAGCAGCATTAAGCAATATTTTGTTCAACTCTCTCTATAGGCATTTGTTTCTCATATCATGTAGTTATATTTATTATATACATAAATATGTATTTATTTCAACATCTATAAGATTTAAATTATTTTATCTATATAACATCATGTACAACTTTACATTGGGTTTAATCTAATAAAATATTTGTAGTATATGCAATCAATTTATTTTTCTTTCTTCATCAAATGTTTAGAATAGTATATTGGGAATTGTTACTTCTTTCATTCCTTTTAAATTTCTTAAATTACTTTTAAACTCATAAATAAAAATTTAAAATTCTATACATGAATGGATTACATTAAAACATCTATACACATATTCATTGGGTAATATTTAAATCAGGGTAAACATATTTTTCTCCTCCATCATTTACTTTCTGGTGAAAATCTTGAAAATCCATTCCTCCTAGCTTTCTGAAGTGTGCAGTATATTACTGAATACTATATTACTATATGTAGTTACCAGACTGTGTAACAGTACACCTCAGCATCTTGGCACTATCAGATTGCATCTTTTGCCCTTTGGTCAATGTTTTATCAATACTTTTAGTGGATAGATTCCCAGATGTTTTTCAATTGTATGTTTCTATTCTTTTGTCTATCTGTTCAATTTTCTCCATTGTTCCCCTCCATGTCCCCTATCTTAATACGTACTTAAACTTCTCTACCTATCCCAGTCTGCCTCTCGGTGAATCCCTTCTGTTAAGCATTTCATCTCATATTATATACTAGAGCTCATCCCGTGTCTCCCCCCCAGCACAACCCTTAATCTCTTTAGTCTTCTGTGATCAGGAAGATTTATTTTTCCTTCAATAGACAATTAAAGATACTAGAACAGTAGCAGTAATTGATGTTTGTTAGGGATTGCTCTAATTTCAAGGCTACAGCTTATTTACTGTCAAAGCTTTAGCAGCTAAACTTCTTCACCCAATGTGGAAGATGGAGTAGAATCCAGCCTCTTGGGAGCAGTAAACTGAAGGGCATACTATTGAGCCACTACTCTCCCCACATCTAGAGATAAGAAAACACACCAGAGCTCAACCACACCCAGTCCTGTATGGTCTTTCTTAAAACCTCAACTAAAGAGATATACAGGACTGGAATCTCCAACTAAAAATTACCCCTGATGCATAAATTTCAACATAAAAACATGAACCAACAAGGCAACAGTTCTCCCTAAAAAACTAATTCCACCACTAAGGATTTAAGCAACAATATAGAGGATAAAATATCAAATATTGAATTCCACAAAATAATAATAAAAATGATCAATGGTATCAAAAAGTTTACACATAAGCTAGTGATTGAACTCAAAGGGGATATAAACAACTAAAAGAGCTCAAAGAGAATTCAAACAAATGAAGTTAAGAAGACCATGCAAGATATGAAAGAGGAAATCAATGAAGAGATTGAAATCCTGAAAAATAATAGGAAATGAATTTTGAATGAATAGCTCAATATCCAAAATTAACACAAAAAGAGAAAAGTTTGCTAACAGAGTGGAGCAAGTTGAAAACTGATTATCAGGAACAGAAGACTAAGGGTAGGAATGTGATAAAAGTCAAACATCATGAAAAAATGCTAAGAAAATATGAATGAAACTTATAAGATGTCTGTTACATCATTAAGAAACAAAATCTATAATCATGGACATAGAAGAAAGAGAAGAGATACAAACTAAGGGCATAGATAAATTATTCTCCAACCTTGAGAAATGGAGGGAAATCTAGGTAGAGGAGACTTACAGAATACCAAACTATCAGGACCAGAAAAGCAACACTCTCAGACATATCACAATCAAAGCATTCAATAAATAGAACTAAGAAAGAATACTGATAATTGCAAATGAGAACAAACAAGTCACATATAAAGGCAAATCCATTAGATTAACATAAGATTTCTCAACAGAAATTCTAAATGCAGGAAAATCATGGAAAGATATTTTTCAGGCCTTGAAAGAAAGCAACTGTAAACCTTCACTAGTGTATTCAGCAAAAAATCCTTCCCAATTGAAGGAAGAATAAAAACTTCCACAAAAACCAAAAACTAAAGGAATTCATGACCAGCAAATCAACACAGCAAAAAATGCTTAAATTCTACACACAGGAAAAAGAAATCAGGATCAACCAGGAAAATGCAAGAAAAAATTTTTATCAAGCAGACTAATAAAACAAAGAACAGAGGAAAAGTAAACATCAGAGGAATAAATTACTGGAGACGTCACACACCTATCAATACTAACACTGAATGTTAATGGCCTCAATGTCTCAGTCAAAAGACATAGAATATCAAATTAAATTGAAAAACAAGACCCAACCATTTGTTGCTTACAAGAAACACATGTCACTGAGAAAAACAAACACTGGCTAAGAGTGATAAGGTAGAAAAAGATTTTCCAAGCAAATGAACCCCCAAAAGAGACAGGAGTAGCTATTCAAATCAGGCCTTAGATTAAAATCAGAAGAGACAATAAAGGTCATTTTATATTATTAAAAAGAAAAGTTCATCAAGAGATAGAAAGATTCTTAACATATATGCATTAAACATCAGTGAACCCAACTACACTAAAAAAATATAATGGACTTAAAAACACAGATAGACCCCAACAAAATGATAGTTGGAGAGCTCAATACTCCACTGATATCAAAAGATAGGTCATACAGACAAAAAAACCAACAAAGAAACATCAGAATTAATAGACACTTTACACCAAATGGACATAATAGATGAATACAGAATATTTCATCCAGTCACCATGCAAAACACATTCTTCTCAGCAGATCATGGAACTTTCTTCAAAATAGATCATATTTTAGGACACAAAGCAAGTCTTAACAAATTTAAGAAAATTGAAATGATACCTGTATCATTTCACATCACAATGGAATGAAGCTAGAACTCAACAACAAAAGAAACTACAGAAAATATTCAAACACATGGTGACTGAACAACACACTTCTGAATGACCAGTAGGTCATCTTTGAAAAAATAAAAGAATAAATCAAAAAGTTTCCAGAATATAATAACAATGAAAACACATCCTACCAGAACCTTTGGGACACAGTAAAGGCTGTGCTAAGGGAAAAGTTTATAGCTATGAGTTTCTACATTAAAAAACAGAGACATCTCAAATAAACAACTTAACATTGCACCTTAAGCTTCTAGAAAAACAAGAACAAACCAAGCCCAAAACTTACCAACAGAGATAAATAATGAAGATCAGGACTGAGATCAATGCTATCAAGACCAAAAAGAAAAACAAAAAAACTATTCAAAGAATCAATGAAACAAAAAGTTGTTTCTTCAAAAACGTTAACAAGATGAATAAGCCTTTAGCTAACCTGACTAGATGGAAGAGGGAAAAAAATCCAAATAATAAAATCAGAGATGAAAAATTGGACATAACCACAAATACTAATGAAATCCAGAGGATGATTTGAGAACACTGTGAAAACTTATATTCAATTAAACTGTAATATCTAGACAAAATGGATAACTTTCTAGATACATTTCACCAACCACAATTGAACCAAAGAGGCAACAACCACCTAAACAGATCTAAAATAAGCAAAAAAATTGAAGGAGTAATAAAACATCTCCAAACAAAGAAAAGCCTAGGACCTAATGGATTCATAGCTTAATTTTACCAAACCTTTAAAGAAGAACTAATATTAATATTCCTCAAACTTTTCCAGGAAAAAGAAAGGAAGGAGCACTACAAAACTCATTCTATGAAGCCAGCATTACACTCATTCCAAAACCCAACAAAGATAAGAGAAATACAGTCCAATATCTTTCATAAATATAGACAAAAAAGTTAATAAAATATTGGCAGACAGAATTCAACAACATATCAAAAAGATCAGACACCATGACCAAATGAGTTTCATCCCAGGAATGCAAGAATGGTTCAACATTCACAAATCTATAATTGTAATACTACACATAAACAGAAGTAAAGACAAAAATCACATGGTGCTCAGAAAATATGCAGAAAAAACCTCTGACAAAATTCAATACCTTATCATGATAAAAGCACTGAAGAAACTAGAAATAGAAGGAATGTTCTTCAACATAATAATAAAACATATAGCCAACATTAAACTAAATGGAGAAAAACTGAAATCATTCCTGCTTAAGTCAGTAATGAGACAAGGATGTCTACTTCTCTCACTCTTATTCAATATAGTTTTGGAATTCCTAGCCACAACAATAAGACTAGAGCTATAAATAAAAGGAATTCAAATAGGGAAGAAAGAAGTCAGACTATCCCTACTTACAGATGAAATGCTCCTATACCAAAAAGACGCTAAAAACTCCAACACCACCAAAATACTATTAGAAATCACAAACACTTTTGGCAAAATAGAAGAATAGAAATTCAATATCCAGTAATCAGTAGCTTTTCTGCATACCAACAATGAACAGACTGAGAAGGAAATCAAGGAAACAATCCTACTTACAATAGCTTCAAAACAATAGTGTATCTTGGAATAAATTTAATGAAGGAAACTAAAGATCTTTTTAGTGAAAAATACAAACTATTGAAGAGAGAAATCAAAGAAGACATTAGAAGAAGGATAGATCTCCCATGCTTGTGGATCAGCAGAATCAACATTGTGAAAATAGCCATACTACCAAAAGCAATATATATGTTCAATGCAATCTCTATCAAAATTCCACTGACAGAGGATCCAAGATGATGACTAGGAAGCAGAAGCAGACAGTGTGAGCTCTATAAATCAAAAATCTTGCTGAGATGCTGGAGCCACACTTGCAGATAAAGCACAAAAAAGAATCAAAACTTCAACA